ACCCTCGACCACACAGGTAGGAGACATAGTGTTCACATTAGTTTTAAAGGTCGCCTATTAAAATCCACTTTTCCGTGCCTTCTCTACATCAACATGTGTCCCCTCTTCTTCATGTCTCTTCTACATCAACATGTGTCCCCTCTGTGGAAAGAGACTCTGAACATTTCAGGAACAAAGATTCTCTCTCTTTTTGTCCTGATCCATTTCTATAAAAGCCTGTCTGAAAATGAGCTGATCTGATTTTGGCCACTTTATGATGTCATAACGATGTTTTGGCTTGTGTAACCATTGGCCAATCAGCAACCAAGGTAACCCCTTCATCAGCACTTTTGAAACAGGGCTGAAACAGAGGGGAGTATGGGATGCTGCAATGATCCATGCAATGATCTGTTTGGTGTTTCAGCCAATCAGAGACAGGCTCTGTATGTATCTGAGACCTATAATATATTGATGAAAAACAGTATAATAGGGGACTTTTAAACTCTATCGGTGGTGGAAGAAGAACTTAGGGTGTTAACTTAAGTAAAAGTAGCTTCTGAAATGTAATAAAACTACAGAAAGAGTTAAAAACACAAGTACAATCCTAAGACATAATATTGTCAGCACTGGATAAACCTTAAAACATTTTTTAATTAAATAAACGTCCTTCAAAAACTTCTCTTTTTACAGAACACAGATTTCTATTCATCATTCTGCCTCAGCTCTCTGACCTTCTCCCCATTCAAACTCCAGTGATGGATGTGTTTTGTGCAGACAGCTGCAGCTCGAAAATGAATGATTTCTCCTTGATTTTCTGACTTAACCAGATCACAAGTAAAAAATGATTCCTTTGTGATGTCAAGTCGTAACGTCTGCTGAAGCAAGCTTATTTTGAGTCATTTGTTCTTAGCAGAAAAGCCTGAAGAGTCCTTGAATTTGAGGTCTTTGACACCGAACAAGGACACAGATTTTATAAAGTTTTTAAAAAATACATATTTGCAACAGAACAGACCAATGCTGACATTGTGCTTAGTTTTCATGCAATAAATAATGAACCTTTGAGAGTTTACGATCCCTTTTATTGCTTAATATCAATCATGTAATGTATGTTCACAATTGAAAACAGAAAACAGTATTACTTACTGTAGTTGTACATTCTTTAAAAATGTTTATCCGAACAGACAGATACTGGCATCCCGCCCAAGTTGAATGCAATATTAAAAATGAACCCTGTCGAGGTTTTGAACCCTTTTATTGCTTGATATCAATAATATTAAGGTTTGTTTTGATTATAAATGTACAGAAAATAGTATTACTGACTGTTTTTTTTACATTCTTTAAGTTCTTTTTTAAATTATGATCAAATAGAGTCAACATAATAGTAGTCCCTTTTCAGGGGAGCTTAGAGCAGGGGTGTCAAACTCAAATACACAGTGGGCCAAAATCAAAAAATGGGTACTAGTCGAGGGCCGGACTGGTTNAATGTTTATTGCAAAACTTATTGAAATGAACTTATTGCACATACTAAACCTGGAACTAACAAAGCTTAAATTATTGCCTATAAAAATAACGAGGTGTCATGGCCATTTCCACTGATCATAATTCCATTGTTGAAGTATACTAAAATAGAAAAATACTCTGCAATTTAACAAACTCACATTGGTTTCCAGTGACGTGCGGTGAGCTTCGTGGCTGGTGAGGCACTGACTCTTTCAGAGTCAGATTTACAAATATTATATTTTGACCTTAATCAAAATATTCGGTTATTTTCAAAAGCTTTTTTAGTCTGATGCTTCAATTCATTTTAAACAGACCGTTCAACAAAAGGATACCCAAAATCTAGACATTGGATTGTTCTTTCTTAGTAAGATCCCATTTTCATTAAAATTGTGGTCTTACCTTGACTTGAAGATGAAGTCCATGCTCTCCTTCTGGACAACAATCTCTCCTACTTTTTTGTAAAAGTCCTCCTTATCTTCCTGTAGTTTCAAAAGTCTAGTTTGTTGTTTATGTCTACCGTCTCTGCGTAGAATAACAGTAGGGGGTTGAGGGTTTTGACTCTGCACACCGTTTACATGCAGAAAAACCTTCATAACACACAAGGGGACGGGTAATAACCGGAAAAGCATGACATGTCACCTTTAAACAATCAGTTGGATTCATTTCTTATGGCTCTATCTGCAGCTTTTCCAGAGTCATTTCTTATGATTACATTTTTCCACAGGCCAACAACAGCTTCAAAAAACTATTTCCCTCAAAGAGAAAACCAAACATGCCCTGTTGTCGTGTGAAACAAAGTGCAGAAGGAAACATCCATTGAATCTCAGTGTGCTGCTCTGTGATGCTAGTTCAAGCAGATACTTGGCATCTCATCTTAGGTGCAGGTTCATCAATGTTTGGGCTCAGGCTCTGAGCTGAGGAGACCCTCAGGATTGAGTGAAGGTGTGCGTGCAATATACCAGCGGGCCAGATCTAATAGTAATTTAAAAATGTCCTGCGGGCTAAAATTAAATCCACCAAGGGCCTGATTTGGCCCCCGGGCCTTGAGCCCACATGTGGCTTAGAGTATACAGTGTTACATTTTACGCACTTGTGTCCTATCTTGTTCCATTTTATATATGCATTTTTATCTATAAGGAAACTTACTTGCACCATTATGTCTATTGCACTTCTTGTTGCACTATTAAATGGCTTTTCTTTTCACGTTAGGTATATTTGTAGGTTGCATTGTTGCCAAAACTACTCTGTAGATAAGATAAGATAAGACTTTATTTGTCCCGAAGGAAATTGTTGTGCTAGAGTTACAAAATAATACAATAAACTCAGCAGCTTAATAATAATAAAACTGTACACTAACAGTGCCGTACAAAGAGCAATTAAATATCCACATGAAACATAGACGGTCACATAATTAATGTAAATATTAACAGTATTAAGTAGTGCAAAAAAACGTAGTGGCAGATACGTAATTGCACGTCATCATAGCACATTATTGGTAATAATAATATTGCACATGTGATATAGCAACGAGTGTTTTGTAACTACTTATTTGAAACACTTCTCACACCCCCCTCTTCCCTTGTCTCTTGCTGCCCCCTGCAGGCGGACTGGGGAACTTCATCTACATGCAGCTGGGTGACAGTGACACTCCGAGTAAAACTGGTGAACATGACGGTGATGAAGAGGAGAAGGTGGCGAGTCTGGCCAGCCTGCCCATCACAGCCACAGACTCTGACCTGTGCATGTCCTTCTGGTACCACATGTTCGGGGAGCATGCGGGCGCGCTGCACATCAGGCAGAGGAGGGAGGAGGAGGCGGGGGGGCTGATCCTGTGGACGCTCAGCGGGCACCAGGGCAGCCGCTGGAGGGAGGGGAGGGTCCGGCTGCCTCACTCCAGCCTCTCCTACCAGGTAACAAACTCATTTATAGATAAGATAAGACTTTATTAATCCCGAAAGGAAACTGTTGTGCCAGAGTTACAAAAATACAATAAACCCAGCAACATAACAACACAACACTAACAGTGCAGTAAAAAGAGCAATTAAATATCTACAGGAAACACACACGGTCACATCATTAATATAAATATTAACAGTATTTAGTAGTGCAAAAAAACATAGTGGCAGATAATATGTTCATTTTAATATAGATTAGGGTTCAGAAGAAGTTAAGATATTTACATGTTCAACAGGGGAGAAGAGCGATAATTAGAGAAGTATAGCAACAAGTGAATGAAATAGTGTTGTTACATTTTACTCTCATGCAACCCATTGGTGCATCATGTCCTGAATAGACAACTTTGCATATATTGCAGTTCTAAATAAGAAGTTTGTAGATTGTCTAAAGCATGTTTTAATGACTGACTGTGCTTTGTTTCTCAGGTGGTGGTGGAAGGAGTTGCAGAGAGACGCAGTGCCGGTCACATCGCTGTGGACAACATCCAGATCATAGATGGACTCAGTATGGAGGACTGCAAGGGTGAGTGCTGTGTTATTATACCTCACTTAATATTATTAATATATACTGTTATACTGATCAGGGATGTGTCACCTCACAGATCGTTGCCCTTCTTTGTTTTGTCTGACTTTATTTGCATGAATTTGATCTAATGGAAGCTGTTTTTTCTCTTCAGATCCAGAAACTCCTACATCTCCACCAAATGAAATCTTCATCCTACGTAAGTTACATTTCTGATTGCAATGTTGTCAATAAAGTGTAAATATGTTCATGTTGGTTGCACCGACTCTTGATTTTACAGAGCACGTTTCGATAGACTTTCAATGCTCTTCACAGAATGGTAAAAATGTGCCTTCCTAAACTGGGATTTGTGCAAATTAAATCTAGCAAATAATCCTTTAAATTACAATAACAACATCAAATGAATACCAACAATAGAGTTGAAAGATCAAACTTGTGTTTGCTTCTAAGAAATTATAAAAAATGTTTCAGTTAGTTGATACTTTTTAAGACAGTTTAAGGATCGAATCAGTGGATTAAAATCCTCCAAGAAATGTTGTACACATACTTAAAACTACTCCTGATTATTCTTTTGTATGTGTACCATGGATTTGTATAGATTTCCATTGTTCCAGTTGGCCAGTTGTTTCCACTAATTACCGTAGATTTAACTACTAATTTTGACATGAAACTTTTGGATAGAAACCCCTTTATAAGAAGCAGATGACCCTTAAAATTAGATCATTTACATTATCACTTTAACAGAAGATCTGATGGATAATAATGGGTCATAACTAGCGTCCGTCTTTTTATTTTCTCCCAGCGATGGACTCCCTCTCCCAGGAAAACAGTGAGCTGGGGGGTCCGGGCAACATGCTGAAGACCCTGGACCCGATCCTCATCACCATCATCGCCATGTCAGCGCTGGGCGTGTTCCTGGGCGCCATCTGTGGCGTGGTGCTGTACTGCGCCTGCTCGCAGGGCAGCATGACGGACAGGAACTTATCCGCACTGGAGAACTATAACTTTGAGCTGGTGGACGGCGTGAAGCTAAAGAAGGACAAGATGAACGGACAGAATAACTACTCAGAGGCGTGAGGCGGAGGGAGCTGCGGATATCACTCCGCACGGACATTGCAGCCAATCATGTGGGAGTAAAAACACGGGGTCCGAGGCCTCTGAAGGGACGGCAGGGTGGGCTGAAAGTGAGCCAATGTAATTTTGTTTTCTCAGGAGCGGCAGTGAGAAGGACTGACCTGCAGGGGGCACTGTGTATAAAGAATCTGTACAGTAACAAAAAAAAAAGAAGAAGAAAGGATTCTATTTGTTTTTCGGTGTTGATTTCATGTAATCACATGCTGGTGTTGAGACCAATTCAGAAGAAAGTATCGTTTGTGAACTTTATGGAAAGATTTGTTTTTGTTTGTTTTGTTCAGATGTTGTAGTTTCACAGAAAGAGAGGAGAATGTGGAATTTGCTATTCGGATATATGGCTCTTTAGCTCGTCATATGTCCCTGTGAGTTTGTGTGAAAGAGTGTGTGCGTCCATCCATATACTGTATATGCATTTAAGGTGTGTATCATTCAGTCTAGCTGTATGCATGTATGTGTGCATCACACTCATGTAACACACATTGACAGCAACACGTGTCAAATCCATATACTGCATTGAAGGTGTGTATCATTCAGAGTAGGCGTGTATGTGTGCATCACACTCATCTGCATACATGAATGGCAAGCATTTGTATTTGTGTGTGTGAGTTTGTGTGTGTGTGAAGGCGGTTGACCTGTGTCTAGTTCCAACAGTGCCTTTTTGTTTCTCCAATTTTTCTGTTGCCTTGTTTTTTTGCTGGTTTTTTTCTTGCTTCATCCGTCCGGGGGTTCCTACACAAAAACGTGAGAAAAGTCCAGACATTTTTATAGATTGTTATTAAACCAAACTATTGTTTATGTTTCAGTATTGTACTGTCAAATATCAAATGTCGGTGTAGATTTGAAGCTCTTCTTGCCTTGATGACACTCGTGGTGACACGGATACAAATGGTAAAATCCAGAAAACTTTAGGAAAAGTTTTGAAATTCAGAATGTGAAAGGTGTAGGAGCCCTGAAAGCCTCATGTTCATGGCACATGAAACATCCAACATATTGTACATATGTTTTAATATATTTGAGCGTCCTTTTCTATAGAAAAAGACACCAGTGCGGCAGTATCCTTTCTCTGTTGGAATAACATAAATCCTCTAAAATGTACAGAGAAAATATTCATTTGTGCTGGATCTGGTTGCCATTCTGTGATATTTGTTGATGTTGTTTAGTTTCTGTTTGTGCTCTGAAAACAGGGAGGATTTGATATCGATGGAAACGGCTTTGAGATTATGGAGAGATGCCTCATGGGAAGGGATGTTTTTTGTACAGGGTAACACGGACAACCTCACCAAAACAATGACAGCTAGTCAAGATGGATTTTAATATTTTCCCGGCTAACGGTTCTCGCTGGCACACAAAATGACTTCTGAACCTTTAAAGAGACGTGTGTCCAGCCATCAGAAAGACCTCCAACAGCATCTTTTATTAAACTTTGAGGATGTGGAGGACTTAAATGATGACTGTCCTGAATGAAAGACGAAGACACACAGTTTGCCATCACAATGCTGTACTCTCTGTCGGTATTTTTCCTGTGTCGACGATCAGAGGAGAAATCTTTAAAGGATCTAAATGGCGTTTAGCAACTCCAACAAGTGGCTAACTGCAACCTATCATTCTGTCCAATTCGCTTGTGTTAAAGTGGCCATAACACACACAATGACAAAACAAACAATTTACTAGCTATTATCAGAGCAGAGACCCAACAGATATGCTTTGCAAAACAATAAGGCTCATTCATTTCATTCGTTGCTTTTGAAATAATCGGACATTTGATTTGTAGTTTGCAGTGTAACACAATTCTGCAGCAGCTTGATTTGCTGTTCAAACATCTCAGTAAAAATTGTTTAAAAACTGAAATTAATTAGCCTTTTGAGACAGTGCTAGTATAAATGTTATGTTTTAGCTTCTTTAGCTAACGTGTTGTGATAAGTCAATAACCTTGTCAACCTCGAACAGATGTTCACAGATGTGATAATTAATAGGAGAATTCTTACTATATGCTGACGATACTTTACTATATATTAAAAAGCCATTTAGCAGGTTTTACATGTTTCGTGTCCCCTGTTGCACTGTGGAAGTTCAATCTGCCCTTTTTTAATGTAGCATCACATGAACTAAAATTGTGGTAAAAAAAATTCAATTATTTCTTTTAGAGACGTTTTGTTGTAAAGGAAATCCACCTTCTCAATCAGGTTCAATTAAATGATTGTCCGGTTGCAGTAAAGAACATTTCCGATCATTTGAAGGTGCTCTGACTGTCGAGATGTTCCTTTTTGCTCATGAGAACCACACTGGTTTAAAAAATATCTACTACATATGTTTACATTAGAAGACACAGATTATCAAAATTATAATAATTTCCGTCTGAACGAATGTGTTTTTTCCCCTTCAAACAAGAAAGGATGCTGCAGCACTGAAAAACAAAATGTTGCACTGATATATTTAAAAATAAAAAAAAGAATCTGTGTTTATGATGTTGATTTATGAAGAGAGAGGTAGAAGGAAGGAGAGGACAGTGTTATTGTTGCTTCTTTTAACACGGTTTCAGATGAAAATGTTATAATTCTGAAAAATGTACAGAGATGTTTTTCATTCTCGAAAAAGCTTACTATATGCGTCTCTTTGAAACGTAACCATTTTATTTACTTGGTATGATATCACCTTGTTTTTGTACCGTCACTGATGTACGTGCCATTGTTTTATTATTTTTCTTTCTTTGAATGACAAGACTTTTTTTTTTAAATACTGCTTCTGTAATTTTTTTGCCGTCTCAGATCCGGGAAAATTGAAAGAAAGGAAATATGGAAGTAAAAAAAGAACAATGGAAAAGCAGTGAGGCCTTACGTGACTAAAAGTATTGTTTGTACTTTGACTTTCTGCTCAGACTCATCCGTCTCTGTCGTCTCTGATCATCGACTATTACATTCCAAAGAATTGGATCAAATAAATGTTTTAAATAAAAAAGTTCTCTGCTGTTTCTGTCGCACCTCAGAGAGGGTCAATGGTTTTAAACGACACAATTACAAGCGTCTCCTGGTATCTGACTGTATTTTGGGTTTAATCCTCCTGTTGTCCTGGGGGTCAGCAACCCTCTGCTCTGGCTCCCTTGAGCTTAGACAAAAATAAAAAATAAAGAAAATAACAATATTTGTAGGACTATTTATATTTAGTTTTTGCAAATAAAAAAGTAACGGTTTTCATTAGGTCAACTAAAATATGCGTCACATCCTGCTACGGTCCCGCGCCAGTGCCTTTTCTTGAATAACCTGACCCCCGGCTCGATGAGCGAACTATGGATACATCAAAATAAGAAAAGTATCAGAGGAACACACAGACAGTTGCGGCTGGCCAATAGAGGGCGCCACCCTCCATAAACCACACACAAAACATTATTATTATTAATAATACTAATAACTCACCCTTTCTTATCTCTCAAACCTGACATTAACAAGAACACACACAAACACCTGCTGTCTTTCTGCTGACACAATCTCAACTCATAAACACACACACTGTCTTTCTGCTGACACAATCTCAACTCATACACACACACACTGTCTTTCTGCTGACACAATCTCAACTCATACACACGCAAATAATGCTCTAATTTCTCTCACACTCACCCTTTCTTATCACACACACACACACACACACACACACACACACACACACACACACCTGATGTCTTTCTGCTGACACAATCTCAAACTCATACCTGAGTTCTGTTGTGTTGTCTCATCGACACACACACACCTCGCTTTATACTCTTACATTAGACTCAAAACAAACCCACAGAAGAATAGAAGCTCAATGTTCCCTGTGCGACTTTAACGTTTACAACGTGACGCAGGAGTTCCTTCCTGTTCCGGTCAGACATCAAACTGCTGCTGATGGAGAAACGGCTCACCAACCTCCATTATTTATTTCCTGCTACATCTTAGCAAGAGATGCCTTTTTCATCTTGTACAAGTACACCTTTTTCAGCTCTGGTTTCAATGTCATCCCGGTTTTACGGTCTAAAAAGTGTTGCAGGAGTTGTCATCACACTCTGAAGAACAAGAAGACATTTATTTTACCCTGTATTACTTTAAACTCGATGTTTAAGTTTAAAATGTACAAACTATGGTGGCCGGCAGGTGCAATCTCGCTACAACGGCCCAAACACTTACATCAGGAGTAACGTGCTGCAGCTTCAAAAACGATGAAACATATTAATAGCAATGTGCCGAGCCGGCCCGACCCATTAAGCGACATAAGCGGTGCTTAGGGCCCCGCAGACACTAAGGGGCCCCCTAGAAAAGAAAAAAAATTGAAAAAAAAAATTAAAAAATCTCAGTACACCGTCGCCGTGATAAGTATGTTTAATTAATTTTGTTAATATGCCTAGATTGCCTACTCTCAAAGTCATGTATTATATGATTGAATCAATAATATAATACATTAACCGTGCTTTACCTGAACCTCATCATGACACTAGAGAGGACGGCAGGATTGTAATTTCCCGTGTTCAGTGAATGCAACAGAGGCAAGACACCAGACCAACATGAGAGTTGAATTGGGATAAACATGTCTTATTGGCTGACAGGTAGGCCTACTATGGAGGGGAATTTGACAGAGGATAAAAATACTTCATTTAATTTCTGGTAGCAGTCAAATGAGTACCGAGTCCAACAGTGTCAGTTTTATTAAGAACTTGTGGTAAAAAATATGTATATCACTCATTGAATATAGCAGGGGAAAAAAGTGAAGAGCAGTTGATTTGAAAAAATAAACTCGAGAGAC